TGATCATGGATGGCTGCGCTGTCACCACCATATTCTGGATGGCCCCAGGTCACGACGCTGCCATCTGCCAGAATTGCAGCAAAAGCTCTGCTGGTGGCATAGACGTGCTGGACATTCTTGAGCTGATCCCTGACTCTGGAGCTGTTGCCACCTCTCTCTGGATCGCCCCACGTCACGATACTGCCATCTGCCAGAATGGCAGCGAAAGCAGACTCTATGGAATAAATTTGCTGGAGACTTTTGAGTTGATCCCTGACTCCGGAGCTGTCGCCACCTTTGTCTGGCTTACCCCACGTCACGATGCTGCCATCTGCCCGAATTGCAGCGAAAGCACACTGCGTGGCATAGATTTGCTGCACGTTCGTGAGCTGATCCCTGACTCCGGAGCTGTCACCACCAAATTCTTGATAGCCCCAGGTCACGATGCTGCCATCTGCCAGAATTGCAGCAAAAGTGTAGCGAGCGCCATGGATTCGCTGCACATTCTTAAGCTGATCCCTGACCCTGGAGCTGTCACCACCAAATTCTGAATCACCCCATGTCACAACGCTGCCATCTGCCAGAAGTGCAGCGAAAGCAAAGTCTGTGGCGTAGATTTGCTGGACATTTTTCAGCTGATCCCTGACTTCAGAGCTGTCACCACCGTTGTCTTGACCACCCCAGGTCACGATGCTGCCATCTGCCAGAAGTGCAGCGAAAGCAAATTCATTGGAATGGATTCGCTGCACATTCTTGAGCTGATCCCTGACTCCGGAGCTGTTGCCACCATATGTTGGATGGCCCCAGGTCACGACGGTGCCATCTGCCAGAGTTGCAGCAAAAGCGTAGCGAGCAGCATGGATTCGCTGCACATTCTTGAGCTGACCCCTCACTGTGGAGCTGTCACCACCAAATTCTGGCACACCCCATGTCACGACGCTGCCATCTGCCAGAATTGCAGCAAGAGCTCTGCCGGCGGTATAGATTTGCTGGACATTCTTGAGCTGATCCCTGACTTTGGAGCTGTCACCGCCATCCTGGTCATCGCCCCACGTCACGACGCTGCCATCTGCCAGAATTGCTGCAAAAGCACGCTCTGTGGCATGGATGTGCTGCACGCTCTTGAGCTGATCCCTGACTCTGGAGCTGTCACCGCCACATTGTGGATGGCCCCATGTGACTGTCCTGCTGCCTCCAAAACACCACAGAGCAAAGGCTTGTGTTGTGACAGCTAGCTGTGGCTGCTGAACAACAGCAACAACGCAGTCCGCATCTTGAAGCCCCGAGAGTTGAAGAGATGCTGTCACATCCAGAAGAGAACCATCCGGCCCAGCAAGTCTCAAGAAACCTTGTCCCAAAAGCTCCTGTGCTGCAATCTTCAGGTCACCTACAGTGCCATCTTGCGAAAGCGAGACAGTCGCCGACTGTCCGCTCGGCAAAGATACCTGAAGTTGTAGAGTGTCCACGACTGCTCGTTCAGTGGGCTCATCCGCAGTGTCAGTGCTGTGCATGACAAGAGGAGAAAATGATCGGCATGAGCAGAAACGCTCAGCGAACAAAAAAAACGCGGTTTTGACTTTCAATATGGCCTCAAAGCTATGTGAACTACACCCTGCCACATCCCTTCCACCAACATAGCCCTCACAATCATCACAAGAGGAACGTATTCTTACAACCAATTGTAGTCAGTGTCGGTTGGCGAGGACAAGTCATGACCTGACATCATCTTAATATCTACGGAAAAGTGCTGGATCTGGACGGTTAATGGATGGTAGATCGGCGGATTGCTTGCGACAAGTCGGCAGTTTTGCAGATTTTGACAGACACACTTTGGAGTCTTGCCTGATTCAATTTTTGCGTCGAAATCCTTGCTTCGATGCCGGAGGGTGAATGAGCGGGGCAGTCAGAGCAAACTGCCAAAAGCATAAGCCGTGATCAGCCACACCACCCCGTATCGTTACAAAGGCCCGTAGACTGCCAGAAAATGTAAACCAGTACGAACCACTGCAATCTGTAAACAATTGCATTCAACGCCAGCAAAAGGATCATTGAAAGTTAACATCCAGTAGCTACTCATTACATGCTTTGGAATTCATCAAGACAATGTGCATAAGATTGCACGGCAATCATATGCGACTATAAATCACGATTCCATGACTCGACAGGCCGACAATTTTGGAAACATCGAATACAGTAACCACCCAAAAGAAAACGATTAGGAAAGCTCACCAGTTGGTTTAAGAGGTTTAACAAGCCATCCGTAACCAATACGTTGAAGCAATCCACAATGGAACCATTCAAACCATCATTACGCAGTAGAGACTGCAAGAACCACGTTGGAGATGATACAAGGATACCCAAAGTCTCGGTCGTCACCGGCCGTGAAACATCCCTTTGATGCTCAGGTGTGCAGATCTACCGAGTTGGCATCAAGTCGTGAGGTCCTGAGTCGCCCGTCATCCCACCATCGGGCGTCCCCATGCCACACCGCCTGGCCCCTGGCCGCGCCTCGTTCTCCGGGCCCCCAAGGTGGGGGACTCGGCTGGTCCCTGGTGGTCGCTTTTTTCAACAAAAATGACAGCGAAATGTGCTATCAGCATCTTGTGTGATGTTTCACATGATATCTATGTCAATCTACTGTCTATGTCACGTATGCAGTCTGTATGTGATGCGTGTTTTCAATGAGTGATTTTGAAAGGGGATGGTTTCATGATGTTTCAAAAAAGTAAACAGCATCTGGCAAAAAAGGGCAGCACTGGCAAAAGCTTCTGAAAAGATGTTGATACCAAATCTTGCATTTTGACGACGTCAAGATTTCACATAAAATCTAGCCCGATACAGATCTCTACTTGGTGGCTCAAGCTCGCTGCATCGGTCACTCAAAGTCGTCTCATATTCGGTCGTATTGGGTGATGGTGGACATCGGCTGAATCAGAGTCACAATATTAGCATCTCTGTGTCCGCAGATGTCAAACAAGGCCTGTTCGTATCTGAAATTCACCTTTGTGGCACACCTCCCAGTTGTTGGGTCTTGGAAAGGTCAGCTTATGGGCCTGCAGGTACACCGTTCACCCTCAACCGCCCGTGTTTCAACGTGTCCACCCCATCACGCCAAAAATATCCACTATGTTCTGCCTTTGTTGCGCGTGCACATGGGTGAAATCATTGCGGGTGAAATGGGCACCGGTTTTGACGCCACCGCTTTTTCCAGGGTTTGTATCCACCGCCCTCCGCAAGTGCTCGCACGTAAAGGTGGCAACTTGGGTGTCTCCCGGTTCCAAGCGGCCGTAGATTGGTAAAATGTCAAAAACCCTGCGATGCCAAGCTGGAAAGGGTCAGCCTAAGATACTAAGATACTACAATCCCGTAATTTCAAGGAAGCCCCAAAAAATGGTACCCTATTTTCGGAAACGCCCAGGACATGAGCTAAAGTCAACACAAAGCACTTCGGACTTATGGCCCAGAACCCAGAACACTCCAAACCCTACCTGGACGGCCGAATTGTGGGTCGTCTTTCTTGGCAGCTGGCTTGGGGGTTTAGAGATTCGGGCTGGGACCTTGCAGCAGAGGGGAAGATCGGGCCTAGGTTTCAGCATGGACTTCGTATAACTTCGTGTTGGCGGCTCAAAGCGCACTGTTTTCTTGCAACGAAGTCCTGGACTACTGAGGCCATCACCGAAACCCGAGACTACCAAATCCCGAAAGCCACATTTTGCTTTGGCTTCACACAAACAAACATTGTGGCAAATCTAGTCTGACCTTAATCCGGCTGAGTGGTAACGCTGCAGTGACGTCTGGCATCTGTGGGGCGGGCGAAGAGCGTGAGGGCCGCTCAGTGGCATTTGCCGGCACTAGCGACACGTTCGTGGAGGCAGAGGTCTGGTGGTTTTTGGCGGTTGAAGATCCTCCTAAACTGAGGGATGCCAGTGATATCCTTCAAGCAACCAAAAACTACACGAGAAAATGACCTAACATGCGTTAGGTGTATGAGTGTTGACAAGCGTTGTCGCTACAAGTACCATGATTTTTATTGAATTGTGGCCAGGTGGGTGTAGCTACACGTTTCTTTCCATACTGAAACCCGGCCAAATGAAGTCCTGTATGAGGAGTTCTTTCAAGCCGTTTCACCTCATGCAAAAGGGTGGTTTCTCCCCGACAAAGTGCCATCCTTCCCAAACGACAAGAACATGAAGCACTTAAACAAACCCCAGCCACGTGGCTACGGTCCAGCGCCTATTGCGCCACTTGTGACCCGATTTCTGCCTAACGAGACACGAGGTACTATTTGTTACGGGCATTGGGCTCTGCATCTTGTGAAATTTTACACGAGACAAGGCTAGGAATAATACCCTAAACCCTGAACCCTAATTTCTTTCTTGGAAGTAGCCTTCTAAGATCCGCCGAAACAACTCGCAGCCGCGAAGACGCGCCCTGGTAGAATGCTCACGCGCTTAATACTGTTTTGGAGGGCTTAGGGTTCAAGGTTCTTGAGACTGAGACATGGTCTCTATAGGTATCTTCGTTACTCCAATCTCTCTGAAAGGGAGTCTTGACGCATGCTCGCTGCAAAGTTGTTGCAGCCAGCTCTCACTTTTGCCCGCGTGCCCTGCGATGTTGGGGGGGTGGGGGCGGGGGCGAGGGGGGATTGCATCCAGCGCGGAAGCCTTTCAATCATGTGAACTTGCAGATGGCAGCGGTGAAACTTGTGCAAGATGCCTTGCATTTTCTGCTCTCAGTGAGGTCTTGATCACCTGGCCAGCTATTTTCACCTGTAAAGGACAGAACGGTGGGGCTTAGGGTCTACAATCAATGCGTTGCGGTCTGCTAGGGTCCTGCAACAGCATTGGGCCCGTGTTGTCTTTGTGATTCCTGTTCCTTAGGTTTGTTTTTCGTTCAGGTTCCCAAATGTTGACTGTACTCCGACTCATCGCTACGTATCGATCTGACGGACATGGGAGGTGTTGCACTGTGTTGGAACCCTCAAACCGTTCCACCCGTGTCTTTCGGGGCCTCCCCGTGTCTCAGATGAGGACGCTCTTGTCGGCCACAGGGAGTGCATCCAGGGCCGCGCTGAACTCCGCGTACGCCTCCCCACCTGCATTCTGAGAGCGATCTTTTCTAGATCTTTTCGGGGCGTTGCTTTTTGCTGCTGACAAGTGGGGCTGTCTAGAGCTGTATATAGTTACGTAGTCCTACCAAAGTCTTGACGGACAGCAAGTAAAGGTCTAACGGTTTAATCATAAACATTCTGAGCAAAGGGCATTGTGAGAGGCAACGGACTGCAGCACACGCGGCATGAGGCCAAGACCAGGGCTCTTTCAACAATACGTACATGGAGCGGGAGGTGGTGGGAGGCGGGAGGTGAGAGTTTGAAGGTGGAAGGCTGTGGAGTTGGAGGTAAAGTTGGGTGGGGAGGGCAAAGCTTCCTGCCCAAAGCCAGCGCCGGGGACCTGCGCCGAAATCGTTCAAGCGGAAGTCCAGGGTTAGCTGCTCCAACTTCGGGAGCTTCCTCACGGCGTCGATGACACATCGAGCACCCGCTTCACCTCAATGACCACCAGGATGGGCCATTGTACCCTATAATCCCCCCCCCCAAAAGGGCTTGCAAGGCCTAATAGCCCATCCTGGCAAGCAGGCTTCGGCGAATTCAGGCTTCATCACTTCGAGCACCGAAACTTCTAAGCCTTTCCACCTACCAAGCCTTCTATACGTTGCACATTGGCCTTCCGCCTGAAATCCGAGTAGGCCCCGAGCCAAGCTTGTTGTCGAGCAAGTACACCTTCAGCTTCTCCAAGCTCGGCAGCTTCTTCAAGGCGTCGCCCAAACTCCGGGCGCCCTCCTCACCTGAACATGAAGCCGGCTTCAGTCTGAAGCTTCGGAATAGCTGCGGAGCGCTTTCCCTGCTTCTGAGCCCCGAGCCGGCCCCGTTCCTTTCCAAGTTCACGGTCAGCTCCCGAAGTTTCGCGAGGCCGCCCAGGGCGTCCCCGAACGAGGCTGCGGCGGCGCCTCGGGCCACATGGAAGGGATTTTCGATACAAGGCATATGGGGGGTATACCTTATTGAGGTCCTTATTTTCAGGGAATCCTACGGGTCTGTATTAGGGATCCCGTTTTTTGCGTATAGTCCCACATGTTCGAGCTGGAAACAAGCCGTTGTGACAAGCAACAGGCAACGTGAACCCAGTGATCAGACACCTCTGCCCCCACATCCTTTCCCAACAGCGCAAAGCCCTAAACCCAAAACCCTGTAAACCCTCGAAACCCTAAACCCTACGAAACACAAACCCCAAACCCTAAATGCTAAACCCAAAACCCTACAAAACATATCTCCTGTTCCTCTGTGCTTGCCTCCAAAAGCAGCACTTCATCCGAGGCCCCGAGCCGAGCCGGTTTTGATCCAACAAGACGAAGAGCTCCTCCGAGGGAGAAAAAGGGTTTAGGGTTCAGGCTTTAGGGGCATTCTTGCCATTCTGAGCACGATTGCGTCTCTTGCGATTCTGTTCTGGGCTCCTCGAGGTTCGGCAGTTTCCTCAAGGCGTCGGCCAAGCTCCGACCGCCTGCCTCGCCTCGGAGGCGCTGGCGCCGGGGTCGGGCGTCTGAAGTCATGCCTCCTCCCTTTTTTGTTGGGGGGGGGGGGGAAAAGAACTGATCAGAAGGGTTTATGGTTCAGAATACCCTAGGAATTATATAGTAGCATCGGCCCACAGATTCTAGGGCGTTCATTTTGGTCCCAAAGGTCCTGAGCGTCTCAGGCCCAAGCTGAGGCCGCCTTTGCAGAGATTCACCTGGCCGAATAGCCCTAATATACACCCCCAAATAGCAGGATCCCCAACCCTAAGCCCTAAGCCCGAAGCCCTAAACCCGAAACCCCCAAATAGTAGGACGTTCATCAGGTACCCAAGGTACCCCTCTCATATGGTAAACCCCCCACCTCCAGCCGCCGGAGCCGGGTGAGGGCGCCCAGCGCATCTGCCAGGAAGGCCGCTCCATCGTCGCCTTGGTCGAGAGCAAAGGGGGGGCTTGGGTTTGGGGTGTAGGGTGGGTGTTGGGTTTAGGGCTTCGGGCTTAGGGTTTAGGGTTGAGGGCTTCGTTCACATGGAGATGGAGCTGCAACCTTCTGTCAAGCTCCACCCTATTGGCAGCCAGAGGCAGCTTGATTGTCGCGAGGAGCTCTCGAAGCTTCGGCAGCTTGCATGTCCCGGATGGACAATGGGAAGCACAGCTCCGGGGTTGTGTACAAGGCTCGGGCATGTTTGGGAGGCGAACTTTTCCGTGTTTTGATCATGTCGGACGTTGGTTTAAGCGTGCCATGGGACGATGAGCTTCTTCAGGCAAGTCGGCATCCCAGTTGGATAAACTAGATTGAATCTAGATTCGCCCTCGATTTTCTCCTGTGCCTTGACAAAGTTAGTTGCTTGCCCAGTGAGTGCACCAAAAGGATGTCGCAAGCCTTCACGCGTCATGTGCACATTGCACTCCCCCCCTCACCCCCTGAAATTCCGAGGCCCCGCGCCGAGCTTGTTCTCGCACAGCTCCAGAGTCAGCTTCTCCAAGCTCGGCAGCTTCCGCAAGGCGCCGGCCAGACTCCGGGCTCCCGCCTCACCTCAGCGAGCAAAGAAAACCGTCTTGGAAATCTTCCCCACCGAAACTCCTCGCTCCCCGCCGCGTCGTCTCAGGCCCTAAACCCCAAACCCCAAACCCCTCAGGCCCGAGCTGAGGCCTCTGTCGTAGATCTGACCGAAGAGGCCCAGGTTCACCCGCAGCTCCCGGAGCCCGAGGAGGCCGCCCAGGGCCTCCGCGAGCGAGGCCACTTCCGCGTCGTCTTGGTCGGAGCACGAAACATGCAGACAGTTTCCACCCAAGAACCTATGTAGCTATACATATGTATATATGTATTGTTGATAAGTATGTATGTATGTATGTATGTATATATTTTTCATGACATTTCAATTTCGAAAAACTTCAAGGCATCAGCTGAAGACGACCCTCTGAAGCAGAAAGAAATTGGATAAAGTAGAAATCTGTGAAGGGTTTACAGGGTTTACAGGGTTTAGGGTTTAGGGTTGGATGGTTTGGGGTTGGGGTTGAGGGCTTAGACACACTCGAGATATATTTCTTCAGGTGCCTCCGAAGTCGAAGTAGAAACCTGGACGAGGTTTAACAGTTTAACACCTCATCTGTTGCCCAGCTGTGGCCCGGGCTGATCTGGGAGTCGTACCTTGGGGACGAAATGAATGTTAAAAGGGTTTAGGGTTCATATTAATCTTAACAGGAATTGTAGTAGTATAGGGTATATGAATGTATTTGACCCCCCATTTTGGGGATCATTTTGTCTCCAAGGTACAAGTTCACCTCGAGCGCCGTGAGCCCGGAGCCGCAGGCGGCCAAAGCGGCGGCCAGGGAGTCGAAGCCATCGGGGCCTTCGCGGGACGCGATATTCGTGCGCGAGATCGTGGTATAGCATGCGGTAGCCTACGGCCTTCACAGCTTGGGGGACCAGATGAACCCTAAAATGGGGTCATCTGCCCTGTACTATAATTCCTATTGAGGTATTATGAACCGGAAACCCTTTTAGCGTTCATGTCGTCCCCAAGGCAGCTCCCACTGAGCCAGTGGCCGATCGTGTTGTTGGCCAGGAGGATCCTGAGGCGGCCCCTGCAGAGCAGTGCTCCTCAACAGCTGCGCATCTGTGCTCTCTCTTCCGCTCTCCCTCTACTCTTCTCTCTTCTACTCTTCTACTCTTCTCTGCTCTCTAATCTTCTCTTCTCTACCCTTCACACGATTCGGGAGTCCTCGGAGGGCTTCGACGTCGGCAGCTCCCAGGTTGCAGCCACAGAGGTCGACCACCGCCTTGTGCACCCAATGAACCCTACAAGGATTTAGGGTTCATCATACCTTAGTCGGAATTATAGTAGTATACGGGTTTAGGGCAACCCATCCACCCTGCACTACTAGAATTCCCTACTAAGGTATCATGAACCCGGTTCATAATACCCTCATCGGAATTATTGTAGTATAGCGTGTATGACCCCCAATCTTAGGGTTCATTTGGTCCCCAAGCGCCTCCTCTTTCCCGGCGGTCTCCAACATCACCAGGTACCGCGCCGCGCCTCCGAGGGTAACTCGGGGACTGCAGGAGAAGCTTAGGAACCCAAATGCGTCCTAAAAGGGTTTATGGCGCATCATGCCTTACTGGGAATGATAGTAGTATAGGGTTTAGGGCTCCTAATACCTGAATAGGAGTTATAGCAGTGTAGGGTGCATGACCCCACTTTGGCCTCGCAGCATGGGCTCATCTCGGGCCAGGTTGAAGGCCTCCTTGAGCTCCAGGTTGGCCTCAATCCGAACACAGAGCGCACAGAGGGCCCGAGAGGGGTTTCGTCGCCCCAAAAACGGGCCATCGGGCCCTCCAAGCCGCCGGTTTTCATTTTGGATTGGGCGTGACGTCTTCAAAACTTTGGGACCTTCTCGAGTTGGCGACATTTGGCACCGAACCTGACATGCGGATGTTGGCCCGTTTGTTCTTTTCTCGTGACACTGCCATCATGTGGCATATGTTGCTGGCAATGATAAGCCCTAAAACCAAGCAACTTGGGGTTGACATTTTTCATGGTTTTTGTGGGCTCTTGAAGCCACTCGAGCTTTTTTTTTTTTTTGCTGTTTTTGGCACTTTCCGAATAAATGAAGATTTTGGAAAAGTAACGTTTTTGGGATGTAGTTTTGAGCTTTTGCTGTTTTTGGCATGTTCGAGGACGAGCGAAACACCAGAGTAAATTCAACAAATTTAACTGATCAAGTGTTGATTTTGAGGATTTTTTTCAACATTTTCGGAGACTTTAGAAATTTTGAAAATTCGTTGAATGGTGCTGAATTTAGGGAAGAATTGCAACACGCAACCAAAAACGAAAGATAAAGATTGAGGGCACCCAGCCTGAAAGAAAGCAGAGTTTCTTCTGCTCAATCTTCTGTCAAATTTCAGTGTGCCTGTTGAATTTCTGTTTGGCCATTTTGGAAAATCAAAGACAAGAGAACGCAATCGAAGCTTTGCCAAAAAAATTCGAATGGAATGGAAATCGAGGCTGGGCGACTCTTAAGTCGTTCTGGCCATGATGAGAGGTCATTGTATTGATTTTTCAATGTTAGCAAGAACTGCAAAAAATGTTTTTTTTTTTGAACTTTGGAGAAATCGAGAAAACACTGGTGGACAGGCAACTTTTTGGGATGTAGGTTTTGAGGTTTCGCTGTCTTTCGCATGTTGGAAGATTTGGAAAGGCAATGTTTTGAGATGTAGGTTCTGAGCTCCTGCATGTTTTTTGCATGTTGGAAGATTTGGAAAGGCAACGTTTTGGGACACAGGTTTTGAGCTGTTGCTGCTTTTGGCATATTGGAAGATTTGAAAAGGCACCGTTTTGAGATGAAGGTTTTGAGCTGTAGCTGTTTTTGGCATGTTGGAAGATACGGGAAGGTAATGTTTTCGGGATGTAGGTTCTGAGCTTCTGCTGTTTCGGGCATGTCGGAAGATTTGGAAAGGCACCGTTTTTGGTCTCAAAACCTACATCCCAAAACGGTGCATGCCCAAATTTTCCAACATGCCAAAAGCAGCAAAAGCTCAAAACCTACATCCCAAAACGTTGCCTTTCCAAGTCTTCCAACATGCAAAAAAAAGTAGGTTTTGAGCTTTTGCTGCTTTGGGCATATTGGAAAATTTGGGCATGCACCGTTTTGGGATGTAGGTTTTGAGATTTTGCCTTTTTGGGTAACATTTTGGGATGTAGGTTTTGAGCTTTTGCTGGTTTTGGCATGTTGGAAGATTTGGAAAGGTACCGTTTTAAGATGTAGGTTTCATTTGGTTAAATTGCTTTTGGCATGTTGGAAGATTTGGAAAAGCAACAAATTCGGTCGATTCGGCACCCTTTTTGCAAGCAAGGCTTCCTGCGTGCCTTCTGTTTTCTTGCCCCCCGCTTCGAGCATATTGGGTGGTGTTGAACAGGGCAGGGCCTAAGCCACCCTTCCCATGGGAAAGCCGGGAGTAGCATTGACACTACATCGTGCTCTTCAGTAGTTCCCAACAGGAAGAGGCAAAACCACGAGCGCGCTTAATGGCACATGTTCGTCCAACATGAAATTAGTCCAGTTTTCTGAAGGTAGTGGTGCACATATACCCAATTCGTTCCTATCGCAGATGTACCAAAAGGCGTGAGTTCTGGGCCACTCGCAGGTTGTCGCACTTTCTCGCGGCATCACGGCTGTTGGGGCACTGCTTCGCATGCCAAGGCTCTGGCCGCTTTCCAAGCCTAACAGTCAGTGAAGTTTCAACTCGACTTTGGGGACCAAATGAACCCTAAAATTCGGGTCATACACCCTGTACTACTATAATGCCCTTTCAGGGTGCATTTGGTCCCCAAGAAACTTGGCGAGATGCAGCCCTTTGTAAGAACGTCTCTGCGGGTTGTTCTCTGGGCCTCGGCGGCCAGGAACTCGTGCATCTTCAGGTGGTACACCTGCACCTGGCTGTGGAATCCGCTACCCAAAACACTAAACCCTACAAACCCATAAACCCTAAACCCTGTTCTTCTCAAAAAGAACCGCGCCGGCGGCGCGGCGCTCTCCCCGGCCACCGGCTCAAGGAGGCGAAGGTGCCCCCGCTGGGCCTCCTGGAAGACCACCTGCAAGTCTTCTACGGTGGAGCAAACCTGGAATTTAGGGCTTCGGGTTCAGAGGCTTAGGGTTTAGGGTTGAGGGTTCAGAGGCGAGCCTCGTGTGACGCCAGTGCAGTTCATCAATGAAGCGGGTCGCTTGTGGTAGGAGAGTGGAAAGACCGGAAAACGGTTTTCAGAGTGGAGCAGCAAACGCAGAGTTTGTGCTGGCTTTCGCGTTCCTTGGGGACCAGGTGAACCCTAAAAAGGGGCTCATGGTTCATTTACCTTAATAAGAATGACATGGTATTATGACCCCATTTTTTAGGGTTTAGGGTTTAGGGCTAGGCGTCATTCGGGAATTTACGAAAACAAAGGACCCCTAACATGGACCCCCAAATAGTAGGACCCCCTTATAAACAGGACCCCAATACGGTACCCCTACCCCGGGGACCAAATGAACCCTAAAATTGGGGTCGTCTACCCTGGACTACTTTAGTTCCTATTCAGGCATATTACCGTAAACCCTTTTAGGCTTCACTTCGTCCCCAAGGTTTGGTCCCCCAAGCCATGGCCTGATCTTCGAAGTCGGCCTTGAGGAGTAGGCGGTGTCCGGCCTGACAGCCGCGACCTCCCGAAACCCTAAACCCTAAGCCTAAACCCCATACCCCAAACCCTAACCCCAAGACAAAATACACAAAATTTATAAGTAACTGGGTGACAAAGACTCATGTCATCATTCCGAACTTCCCAAGGTATTTGTCTCAACAGCTGACAAGCCGAGTTCGTGACAATTTTGCTCCCCTCTACGTTTGGGCGCGGCTCGGTGTCTCGACGGTCTCGACGAGGGTGCGAGACAAATTTGTTCCACACTCTGTTGGGGCGCGGCTCGATGTTTCGACGGTCTCGACGCGCGAGGTTTCGTGACTATTTTGTTTGCCTCTACGTTGGCACACACGAAGCTTCGTGGTATCTTTAAATTTGCTTCCGGCTCGATCTCGACGGTCTCGATGCGCAAGGTTTCGAGACAACTTTGCTCCCCGCACGACCACAACGTGACCTCGTTACAGTAGCGGCGAGTACAGCATGTATTGGAAGCTCCTCTCCTCACGGAGGATCTGGGCGATCTCGTGAAGGCCCGCTCAAGCTCTGCACGCGACAAACGACCCCATCTGCTGGGACGGTTGTGCTTCAAGTGGCTCTTGGGTACATTCAAAACTTAAAACTTCGGTCAAAACTTTCAGTCACATTTTTTGGGACCCAAACCTTATACAATTTCTGTAACTATACAATTTCCATAAACCCCAAACCCTAAACCCTCCCACGGTCCCCCGTACCTTAAAGTGCAGACGAGGTGGGTGCCTGCAGCTTCTCCAGGCACCGGGGTCCCAAGGCCTTCAGCTGGCGGCCCGTGCGTTCCTCAGCCTTTCGCGTGCACTCTGAGACGACCAGGATGGTTTATGGCTGAGGGGTCTATAGGGTTTAGGGTTTATAGGGTTTATAGGGTTTTAGGGTTGATCAGCCCTAGAAAGGTGCCGTTTTCAAGGGGGTTGTAGGCTATAATAGCCCATCCTGGGATCATCATTCAATGCAACTGCTCTTCAAGTCACTTGAGCATTTTCGTGGACAAGCGAAGGAGGAGTTTCTTGCGAACGCACAGACAGCGGCTGGATGGAACACTATATCATCAGGCCATCAAGCTTCTTGCGCGCCTGCGTGATGAGCACTTCAACCGCATATTTCATCAGGTCCAACTCCGCAGCCACTGTGTGCATGTCTTCCTTTCGGGCCGGGAGATCGGATGATCGCAGGTGCACGGGGTGTTGCGCCGTAAATTCGTCCTGCTGCTGCCGGTATCTTCCTGATGCTTCACACGGACCGCGCGGCGAAGGATTTGCAATCAGAAGCGACGCTTGCTCACTTCGAGGAGGCGGCCGAGGATGCTGGCCATCAACGGCGTGCCCCAAACCTGGGAGAAGACTTCGCAGGCATCCCTCTCTTCTAGGGGGGGGGGGGGGCCCTTGGGGGGGGGGGGGCCTGTAATGTCGAAGGGGAGCGTGATCTCAAGGGTTTGATATCAAGAAAGTGCTGGGGTCACAGGAAAGATTCTTTTTCGGTGGCCCGAGGCCCGCAGCAGCGAAACGAGCCAGAATTTCCCCCTATCGGTGGTCAGGTGCACAAGCAGCTCCCTTGCATGTGTGACCCTCACCATCCCTGCCCTAACGTGCAGAAGTCTCAACAGTTCAGAGTCGCAGAAGTCAATTCCATCAAACACATGAGCTGCTACTATTTGCTGAAGAACAAACAACAAATAACAAAGATTCCTCCTTATACGAGTCATCTGGGGAATATTATCTTTTTGGAGGCTTTAGGCTGTTGTATCTTGCAGACAGCGACGGGCTCACCGCAGCCGAGGCGCCGCGTCCGGCAGCGTTTGCAGAAGCTCTTCGGGGACCTTTGAAATCCTGTGAACGGAGCTTCTTCTTCCGCAAACTTCTGCCACTCACTACCTTGGGGACCACATGAACCATAAAATTGGGGTTCACATGCCATGTTCTAGTACAATTCCTATTTCAAGGTAGTATGAACCATAAACCCTTTTCAGGGTTTATCCATGTTCATCTCCTTTTGAAGGTACTGGCATCCGAATGCGCCTGGCTGCGATCTGCGGGCTCAGCGGCAGCAGCTGCAGGGGCCGGAAGTGCAGCCTGGCTTTGCAAAGAGCGCACAGAAAAAGTCGTGAGACTCCTTGGGGACGAAATGAGCCCCAAACAGGGTCTCAGATTACAACTCAAGAGGAATTGTAGTAGTCCAGGGTATGTGAGTTTTTGGGCCCCCGGGCTGCTCGGAGAGCTCGGCTCGCAGGGTCAGCTCGGACAGAGCAGCGGGTGCGGCGGGAGCGGGGCCGCTGATGGCGGGGCCCTCCAGGAAGGTCTTGAAAGCGCCTCTCGGACTCAAACTCTGAGCGGTGCGAAGTGTTGCTCTATTGTACTCAGTGGAGAGACTGCGCAGCTATACAGTCATGTAGCAGCTAGCAGGCCTTGCGTGGGCAGGAGCTCGATGACGGAAGTGGCTTCTCGGACGCCTCCGAGCATTGCGAGTAGTTCAGGATCCACATCGGCAGAAGTGTCTTCCGGCAGGAGCTTGTCGCCTGCGCTGCACTGCGAACATGAGTCTCTAGCTACTGTGCCTCCCTAGCACAACAAGCAGACTTGTTGATTATGCTATCTTGCATTTTGCTTTCGCGAGGCCGCTCGACTGACCGAGGCTTTTGCCAGCAACACTTTTCAGCCGCGAGCCTGGCGCCAAACCTGCTGCGCTAACGAAGACGCTGTCGCCGCAAGCCTCCACTGGCCTCAGAGACCCTAAACCCTGAGCTAAGCCCAAACCCTAAACCCAGCGCATCTCGGACGGGGAAGAAAGGAGCTCCTAAAGCAACCCCCTTGGGAGAGCTGAGGGCAGTGCAGCTCCAAGTCCTCCTTCGCATCCTGACGGTTTCTTTCAAAGAGTTAGGGTTTAGGGTTCAGGGTTTAGGGTTGAGGGTTGTTCATGCCTTCACTGCATTCAGGAAGTACGTCTCCACGGAGCGGGCAGACTTGCAGTGCAAGAGTCCTGCCCGTTCTCTCCCCGGGCCCACCGCTCATCCACCATCGCATCCTCGCTCTTCACCGCCTTCACCGCCAGGCAGGCACGGCAGGGAAAGGCCGCCGCCGGCCAGTCCAGGAGCTCGTACCAGTTGATGCGCATCGAGTTCTGACGGCCAAGCTCGTGCACGTCTAAGGTGTACAGCTGACTTCAGGCAAAAACGGGGATGAATGAAAGGTGCAGATGTGAATGCACGCTGTCCTGCCAGCGCTCGCCGTCCGCCCGGGCAACGAAAACGCTCTTCTCGCCCCTCACTCCGTCGGCCCCGGCACCGCAGGCATGCTGCCAAGCCCGCTCCAGCAGCATTTCGGCACGGTTCTTGTCAGAGTAGTGCAGGGTGATCGCAGGGGAGAAAAGCATGTCAGGGTCCTGGAAAACAGCCGCCAAGAAATACAAAAAGGGGCGAAGAAGTGGGGAGAAGGGGAAGGGGCTGCATGGGGGGCACTTCCCGGTGAGTCCTTGCGCGTCACCCGTACACGACATCCTGGTGCCTGCAAGCCGCAGTCGGCCGGGAAGACGAAGCCCTGAGCATTGGCTGAGCTGAAAGGGAGAGGGGTCGGCCTGGTATGTAAAAATATCTTGCCAAGTTCCCAGCTGGTTCAGAGATGTTAAGAGTACCACGGAGAATCGCGAAGGATCCCGTCCCGATGTGATGAGGTTTGGTCTCAAGAGTCGTCGTGACGAAGAGGGAGTGTGTAAAGGGAGATGATCCGCATGCATGTACGCGTTGCATGTACATGTTCACAAGGCTCTGGACGGCTTTGGGCTTGAGAAGAAGGGTGTCCAAGAATGGACTGATTGATTCAACTAGCTAAATTCCACATGTACTGCATCTAGATATTTTGCCACTGTCATGCGCCTGCTCGCAGGCGGCCACTTTGCTAGTGCCGGTCACGATGTCACGCTCGTCGGCGAATAGGATTTGAGACCCTTGTGGGAAGCTGTCCTGACGATATCCGAGTGTTGCAGAAGGATGCCACATGCCTAGCGCCTCGACTGCTCCTGACGATGTCGATACCATTCCCCCTGGGCTATCTCCTATAGCGGGCCATAGCGGGCCTTTCAGAGCGACACTGCTCAAACCTGATTGAGAGTTCTGTGCAAGCACAACTGCCATCAAGCTCGTCTTAAAAGTCCTGTGTGATCAGGTACTTCTCGGAAGCGTGCAAAACGGAGGACTTCGAGGGCTCCCTCTCCTTGCCCTCCTCGTCGACCACCCTCGGAGCACCGAAGCCGCAGCTACGGGCTTAAGGGAAAATGCCCTTTTGGGTTTAGGGTTTAGGACCCTGAACCCTGAACCCTTTCCCCTTAAACCGCTCTGCTGCACGTCGACTGCAGGCTCCGGGGGCCGAGCTGGTCGGTGCCGCCTGGCCTGCTGGTCACGATGACGCAGGCGCAGCGATGGCTGTTCTGCCTGGGAGATTCTTGGGCCGCCAACGCAGAAACGGCCGTCAGGGTCCGAGTGCTGTTGAGGAGCCGGAGCCAGCCCTCGAGCCAGCTGATGATGCGGCGCCGGTCCGTCCCAGCTTCGTCAAGGCCGTCCAGCAGCAGGAGCAGCTGCGACGATCTCGCCGAGTCTGACCAGTGATATGCAGTGTTGCAGGGGGAGGAAACTGCAAAACGAGAACTCTGCTGCGCCTTGGAAAAGCTCTTGGCCGTCCTTGCCGAACGCCTGCCCGGCCCAAGCTTGCAACCTGATGCAAGAGCTCCGTCCCTGATGCTGTCTGCCACTGAACAAACTTACCTGTCCGACTCAAGATGTCGAAGCCCTTGGACCACTCCCTCATGCTCCCTGGAACCCGCAAACTTCACATCAAGTATCTGCAGCTAGGAGACATGTCGCCTTGTCCCTGCAAGGCGCGGGCGGACGAAACGTGAGCGGACATTGCGTCTTATCATCGGAAATGCATGTGGAGTGGAGTGTCCCACAGTCTGAGCGATACTCCTTATATAACCCTTGATGCTGCCTTTGCATACCGAGCGAGCTCGGCGAGGGGAACTCGCAACGGGGTCAGCCTCAGAGCCTTCTCACCTCAGCTCCATGTGTTGTGGGCTCACCAAACTCTTAAGATGTGCTCCCAAGCGGTTGCGGTACGCATAAAGGAGATGTAAGAGCCGAGCGCGCCAGCTTGACCTATGCGCTCCGGGACTTGCTTCGTTGAAGTGACACCATTTCTGACTCATCTCCATGAATTCCGACGAGGTGCCGCTGCCCGAATGATCTCCCGGGTGATCACCGTCTTTCCCGTGCCTGCTCTCAAAGGTCAAAGCTATCTCCGGCTTCAAGGCACCATCACCGGGCCTCCTCGGCCCGTGATGAGCACCCGCTTCATCTGAGCCTGCCAAAGCTTCGTCGCTTGGCTTCACGTCCACTTGTCGGGCCTAGCAGCGCTATAGTCCAGGTTCAGACACCAGGACACTATAGTACGTGCAGGAGATGATCCTTCTTGACAAGACCTAGCCCCTGCCTGCAGATACTGTGACTTCCAAAACAAAACAAGGAACGATATGCGTTTCCAAGAGTGACGGCACTGCTTAGGGTGGGTGAACCAGGAAAAACCCCACGCTCGCTTGGCTTCGTCCTGGTCAGCGGCATCCCGCGGATCAACAGAAGCGGAGGACCTCAAAAGTGCCCCCCCCCCCCCCCCCCCCCTCTCCCCCGCCCTACAAACCCTAGCCAAACCCTAAAACCTACAAGGCATCCTGCGAGCTCACAGAAGACACGGACCGTGGAGAGGTGCGAAGAAGCTGCTCAAGTCTCAGCCCGAACTCTCCGAGCCAGGATCCGAATCTCCGAGCTCAGGGCTGCGTACATGCGGAGAGACACGCCTCTCCGCAGGTCAAGGCAAGAGAGAGCGGTCTTAGCACCCCTTGGAAAAACAACAGCTGCACCATGCTGCGCCTGCATGCAGCCGTCGATGATCTCCGACATGCTCACCTGTAGGAGAGCAGAAGCCCTGTAAGCCCTAAACCTTGGGATGCTCCCCCTCATGCTAGCAGTCCTTCATAGGAATGATCATGGGGGACCTACAATCCTCTATTAAGGACTGTTAGTATAAGGGGGGACACATCCGAACCTGGTCTTTCCGACGTCGGCGCGCGTGGGCAGTGCCGGGCCTTGCCCGCGGAGCCCTCCAGCTCGATGCCCTGCTCCGGCTCCACCTGCTGGCCTGCTTCCGTGGTCCGTGGGACGCGTGCTGAACGACAGCTTCAGTGCAATCTTCAGCAATGTCGGGTTCCGAGAGCCTTGATGCGGGCTGGTGATCGACATCGACGGGTTGGGTCCGGTTGGGTTCCATGTGGGGCAAGTCGGTGGTGACTTGGTGCCGGCATCGATCGAATGCAGGGCCAATGCAGGGGCCTGCTGGAATGCACTTCGTTCGCTTGGCTCATAGCCATGGATCTTGTACAGGCGTGTCGCTGGGACCGGGAAACGAAGATTTGCAGCATCCCAACTGTTTCTATTTTACTTCGCCGAGTTTCACATCAGTGGTCCGAAAAAGCACCTCTCCTGTCGTTGGGAGTACGGAAAACTCAGCAAATCTAGAGGTGAGGGGAGCCAATCTGGCGACCCTAAACCCATGGCCTGTGAAGGCATCTCGAGTCACTGCAAGGTGGGCCACGAAGGACAGGTGGTCCATCACCTCACACAGCGTTTTCAAGGGAGCCTTTACAAGCCTTGTAAACCCTGGACCCTGAGCCCTAAGCCCTAAACCCTAAACCGCCTCCGCTAGCATGGCTCTGCAAAAAGGGGCCTGCATCTTCACCTTGGACACCACACCAGTCCAGCCAGCATGATGCTCTGAGATGGCCCCATCGATCTTGAGCTCATCCTCAACAAACCGCGGTTAGGGCTTAGGGTTGAGCTCTGAGAGTGCGTAAAAAAGAGGCCTGCGGATATTCAAGGTAACCCCCCCCCCTCCCCCCCCCCCTCCCCCCCCCTCCCCCCCACCCCTTCCCCCCCCCCCCCCCCCCTCACCCAACCAACCCCCTCCCCCTCTCCCCCCCCCCCCCCCCCCCCCTCCCTACAGAAAGGGGGGGGGGGGGCCCCCCCCCCCCCATGCTCAATTCCACATTTCCTCTGCCATGTTTGGTAGGATTCCTATTGCTTTTATTCGGAATCCTTCTAATTTCAAGAGGATTTCTATTAATGTAACAAGATTTCTATTTGCCTTCTTTTTTCGTAGCATTTCTAATCGGACTTCTACTAATTTTAATAGCAGTTCAATCAATTGTAATAGGAGTTGAACTTAATTCGACAAGGATTTCTATTATTTCAATACGAATCCCGTTAAACCTAATACAAATCTTATTAGAAGGGATAAAAATCTCATTCATATTATTAGAAATCTTTCAAAAGTAACAAAAACCCGATTAGAATCAAAAGAAGTCCTATTAAAACGTTAATTAAAATCAAGTGAAACCCTATTAAGAACACTGTTATTGACCAAGGGGGGGGGGGGGGCCCCCCCCCCCTTGAACAGAGGGGGGGGGGGGGCCATTGGAGGGGGGGGGGGAGGGGGGCTGGCTTATGTTCCCGCAGGCCGCAGTGGCGCGCACTATCGTTGAGGGAGGGGGGAGCTAGGGTTTAGGGTTTAGAGAGCAGGGTAGCCAGGGTGGGAGGCAGGGGAGGGGCAACAGAGCCACAGGGCTTCTTGCCTTATGGAACCCGTGCTTCCGGGCTGTGATGCCAAAATAGGGGAACCCTTTATACCCCCAAAATAGAATAGAATCCCCTATCTTGGGAAACGCCCAACAGATCCTGCGATATGCTGCGGGCAAAAGCTGTTTTTCGTGGGGGCCATGGCACCTCCTTCTCGCTGCAAGCTGCCGTCATCATGTCGACGTTCATCACCTGAAGGCGTACAAGAAGGGACCCTTAGTCTTACTCCCCTAAACAACATGTTGAAAAAACCCCTACAAAAACTCTCTAGAGACATCCTATGTACCTCAATTGACTTAAATAACTCTTTATTAAGGTCCCTATCCCCCTGGTTCTCAGAAGGGAACATCATTCCCGACTAAGAACCAGCCTGTAGGGACCAATAATCTTATCCCCTTTATAACCCATATATACCCCCTACACCTTCTAGAGTCCCTATGTACCTAAGTAGCCCCTAATAACCCCCCTGGTCCTCAGTAGGGAATCAGGGAATTTGGCCCCCCTTTAAGGGATTATATAATGAGGGAATTAAGGCCCTATATATACCCTTTAAGGGATTCTCCTACAAAGAGCCAACCAGTTACGGGGGTCCCTCATTTAGCAACCCTTAATCACCTGCTCCTGGATCTCCTTCGCGTGCTCCGACTCGCTCGTCCGAGTCAGCGCCCCATCGGTGCAATACCTGCATCCCAATGAGCCCTGAACCCTTAACCCTTAAGCCCTGAAGCCGAAGCCCCAAAAACTAAACCCTCCCTCTGCCCTTTCCTTTTGCATGCCGCGGGGCAAGTCCAACTCCAGGCCGAGGGCTTGGCAGCGGAAGGTCTCGAAAATGCACCACTTGCGCCTCCGTGAAACATCGATTCAAAGCTCTGTCTAAAGGTGTCTAGGGGTTTGTAGGGTTTATGGGGGTTATTGGGTTTAGAAGGTTTTTTTTTTTTTTTTTTTTTTTTTTTTCAGGTTTGGGGTTCATAGGGTTTATAGGGTTTAGGGATTTAGGGGGCCCTCCGACACAGAAGCTTGGAGGAGCCCTCTGCAGGCCAAGCCGCTTCAAGGTCGTGCAAGACTTGTCGAACCTCAGAGATGAAAATTCTGGCTGTTTCCTAGTAGGGACTGAGGGAATGAGGTACCCTATATAATCCCGTAAAGGGCATATATATATATATATATATATATGTATGTATGTATGTATGTGTATAGATATTATAGATATAGATATAATATAGATAAAGGGCCCTAATGCCCTCATTCCCTACTCTGCCAAGCGCAGGCAATGAGCACAATGTAAGAGCTGCTACCAGTTGCACAAGCACAGCTGGGGTTCGCACAGCATGACGGCTCTGTACATCGGCCCGCTCCTCGCGTGATAGCCTCATGAAGGCTCCTATCACGCAACCCGGACCGGGAACGGTTCGGATGGTCTGCCACCCGGACTTACCCTGGGCTAGGGACGGGCCGCCACGTACTCCAGCGCGCGGTTGAAGGGCGACTGGCGCCAGTCGTCTCCAAGGTCCTGGGCTTAAAAAATCTCGCGTGCATCCCACGCCTGAGACTCAGCCAAGGTTTAAGGCGAAGGCCACGCTGTGCTGGCTGTTGCAAAACCTTGTAATCGACAGGGGGACATGCACAGACTTGGCCTTGAAACTTCAAGAAAGCATCCCCCCCGAGGCATCTGTGCATGCCTTACCCCACCGACTCAAGGCAGGCGACGTGCAGATGTAGTACACCAGTGCGCCTGCACAGCGAACTCGCTGGCCAGGGTGAAAATTGTGCAAGGAAAACCATGCCTAAACCCTAAAAACCCTAAATACCCTAAACCCTAAACAACCCTAAACCCTGAACCCTAAACCCTAAACCCCCAAGCATCAAAGACCAGAGCTTCGAAAGTCGACAGGCCTGGGTTCGAGGGGTGCACGGTCTTGGCATGGAGGTGCAGCGTGCGGGCGAACTCGAGCGTCTCCTTCCATGTACACGACACAAGACATGACATGGCATGACTTCAGTTCGCCCTGCAGGAACATCCTCAACACTAAACCCTAAACCCCAAAAAGCCCAAGGAGAACCCGCTCACACGAATTTGATCCCGGCGTCCTCTCCCCAAAAATGAGAAGCGAAGCAGCTCAGGGGCCCGAACTCCCCCGGCTCGTCCAGATGAGCATACGCCACCTTTGGGGTTTAGGGTTTAGGGAGAGCACTGGGAAAAAGAGCGGCGGAGATTTGTTTTCCCGGAAGGCCGAAAGCAGCACATTGCCGTGCGAGGCACTCCCTTGCGAAGGACGACGACCGTCCCCTGCTCTTTCAGCAGTTTCTTTTGCCTCCGCGCGGACTTCTCGCCGAGCTTCTCGCAGGTTTGGAGGTGGGCCGGGATCTCTGCAGGCCCCTGCCACGGATCCAGGCGACTCCACATGCCGCGGACAAAAAACAATGGACTATCACACAAGACTCGCGATCCCAGGCCTTGGCAACTCGGCCGTGTTTCGCAGTCGTCTTCCAACACTTCTGCCGATCCTCGCATTCCGAAGCTGTCTGTTCAACCATCCGTGGCACGGATGTGGCGCCGCTTGGCGGTGCGACAGGCGAGGCACGGCGCTTGCGGCCCAGTACTCCCTGCGCTGGTCGCCGCCATCACCTCAGAAGCTCAGCTCAGCAAAGAACACCACAGCAGCAGCATACCACGCACATTGCAGGCAAGAGCCAGGCACCCAGCACAAGATGCCCTCAATGGCCAGGCCTTCCTTATATGTAAGAAGCACATGGTTCTCACAAGACTTCTGAGTCGCATTCCTCTTGCTCGGCTCGTTTCTGCCGCAGCCTGGAGCTGAGTGCACCCAAGCTTCCACATTGATGCCGCCGAGATGTACGCCGGCGCGACACTGCAAGGAGCCCGGCAGGAAGATGCTCTGCTCGGTGTCGCAGTGCTCTTCGAGGGAGCTTGCGATTCTGCCTGCATCTTCCTCCGACAGAGTGAGGACCTGCTCGTCACCTGAAGCCACAAGCCCAGGCAAAAGCCCAAGGCAACCGTGTCAGACGGGGGCCACAGGCTGCAGGACCCATTGCACTAGTGCAAGGAGCTCGTCAGCGCATGGGTGCACACAGTGCCTTAAATTGACGCGTTCTTTGAGCCAAGCCGCATGTCGTCCTCTCCTTAGAACTCGGCGATGCGAGGCATCTCAGCACTGGAGGAAAAACATGGAAAAACCTTGCCGAGGACAAGGCGATGATCACCTCTGGGCAGATGTCGTACATGTTCTTCCTCCCTTTGCCGAAGCTTGCCGGCTGCTCGAGCCACTCTCGCTTCTCCTTCACCACGAATGAGATGTCTAGATGCAAAACAGATTGTTATATTTATGCTCAGCCCAACCCTGAGCGTCGGCTACAATGAGAGATGGTTCCAATCCTCGATGAAGTCCAGGAAGAACTGTAAGCGGATGCCTTGTGGCACCTGCATCCGGCTTCCGAGTGCTGCGCACAGGACTTTACACAACTTGCTGGGTGTGGGCTCCCCTCAAAACTGAGGCTGCAGCTCCTGCTGTATCCGTGGGTGCCGCCTGCTCGCTCTGCTGCTCCTACGATAGAAACAGATGCATCCTCAAGGCTCGGGAGTGGGTGTCGTTCCCTCCCTTTTTTTGGAGCCTCCATCTCGCGCGGCTGTGCCGCCTTCATGTCCTGCACCCGCAGGAGCAAAAGGGAAGCTCGCCCAACTTCCATCGGCACAGTGCAGAGTGTTCGCAAATCTGCCTCCGCTTCCTTCTCGAAGCGAGCTTTCGGTGCCTCGCCATGGCTCCACATGCACAGTTTACACATGCACATCTCTACCACCATTCTGAAACAAGGTTTCGGCAGGAGGAGGCAGTCGACTCCAGGTTCTGATATGCACAAAAATGGTAGGTTATTGAGATTATTGCTATTGTATATTCTCTTGAATATGTTTTGCATACTATTGTGTATATTTTTTGTGATGTGGTATATCATTGTATATTATTGTATAGCATTGTCTGCGGACAAAACCCCTAATTCAAGACTTTGAGCCTCCGAGGACGCGGCTGCCAGCTGCTCCTCGGCCTGTCTCAGTGCCCCAAAAAAGCTTACTGTTGGCTTGTAGGGAATGAGGGAATGAGGTACCCCATATCCCTAATATCTACCCTTTGAGGGAATATATAGGGTACCTCATTCCCCCCCATTCCCTGCCAACCAACAGTAAGAAAAAGCTGAAGCCACGGGGAGTCCGCTGCGAACCCCAAAAGCCTCTGCGGCCCGCGGCAGCTCCTGGACCTGCAGATGCAGAAGCCCCAAACCCTATAAATGCTAAACCCTAAACCTTATAAACCCCATAAACCCTACCCTAAACTCCTAAACCCTAAGCGCCTAAACCCCAAACCCTACAGCCCATCCGCAGACGCTGAGAGCCTTGGTGCTGAGCCCGAGCTGCCGCCGGCATGCCTCCGCCATGCTTCCTGCAGGGCTCGGGAGGGCAGTGCCGGGAGTCCACATCTCATGTTTGGGGGCCTCAAGAGTTAGAATAGGGTTTTGGGGGGTTATTGTAGTATCTTCATAAAGGGGCCATGAGGGCATACTTTTAGTATTATTCCCAGCCCTATATTCTGCTTGCCTGGCCCCCAACAACCCAGTCAGAGTCGCCACAAACCGGCAGCGGAGGCCTAGCATGCCGCGTGAGCTTGCGGCCGGGCTCGTCGTGAGTGCCGGCTCCGGATCAGGCCTTGAACTCACAACGGGGCGCTGAGGCACTGATCTCCTGTGGAAGGGAAGCTGATAAACGCTAGAGATCGCTGAGGGTCGCGCCGCCGTCCATCATCGGGATCACGGGCTGATCTGCCCTGGCATGAATCATACCGATTGCATCCACGAGTATTGTACAGCCTGATCTTCCCCGCTTTGAAACCTCGGAACACTGGAAACACGCCCCCGGGAGACCTCCGGCGCCGTCGGCTTCGCCGCAAGGCTGTCCGGAATGCCCGGCAAGTCCGGCAGCTCCGCCTCTGTGGAAGCAGGGTTTCTTGACGTTCACAAGAACTCTTTAGCGTTTAGGGCTGTTTAAGGTGATATTTAGGGTCTTCTTTTTAACGTTAAGAAATCCCTACATGCTCGGCTTTCAAGAGCTGCATGCTGCGGGGCACGGGCTCTTCAGCCTATCCTCGCCTGCGCCAGCTCGTGCTTCGCATGAGCCATTGCGCGACGGAGGCCTCGCACAAGGAGCAGATCTCAAAGCCCTCGGACTTACGTAGAGTACCACCCATCAGAACGCGCCACAGCTTGCCGCAGCTTGTGCGGCGGTGGGGGGCTGAAGCCCACGACTTGATACGTATCAGAAGCTCCGAGGTGCCTGCGTCGGGGCAGCTAAGGGGCACCCCAACTTACACGAGCTTCTTGAGCCTTCACAGATGCAGGATGCCGCAGTGCTGCAGCTCATGGGCCACTGCCTAGAACATGTGTTTAGAACGCATGCGTTCATGTGTGTATGTGTGTATATGCGTAGGCTTGTGTGTGCATGTATGCACATCATTTGAATTAAAAGCACGTACATGAACCAGCGTAGTTTGTCTCGGATTTTAGGAAGTTAATGTTGGGTTTAAATGGGTGTGATATTGGGCTTATAGAAGGCGATCGAACTTCCACGCATCAGGCATATCCCGCTGCCCATTTTTTCTGCACGAGGCAGAGTGGAGGCGTTTCAAGGTCTCAGGCTTTGGGGACCTCGTTCACCTCGTCGACCATGTTGCAAGAGTGGAGGCGTTTCAAGGTCTCAGGCTTCGGGGACCTCGTCCGCCTCGTTCACCTCGTTGACCACGTTGCAAGGCACTACTACCACCCCCGGCTGGTCGCTTTCAACCACGGAGGCAGGAACGGCCTCGGCCATCAGAATCTGCTGCGGGGCTTGCGCTGTGTCGCCCTGCGTCCAAAGCCGCCGAAATTGCTCCTTCTCCCCGGGAATGGTGATGATCAGATTCAGCCCCAATGGAGGCCACTTATACACGGTCCCGCGCTTCGTCTCTACTTTGTAGGCCACCCCCAACTGGTCGATCCCGCAATCCTCCGATCCAATCCTGTCGTTGTCATCCACCAATTTTACAGGGGCCCGCCACTGCTTGGTCTTGGATGCCGTGATCTCCTGTAAGCTCTTCGTGATGGTAGATTCCTTGTAGTACCAGTACAAGCATGGACAAGCATGAGCTCATCATATTCCTCCCGGCTGCATGCGCTGGCCAGTCGCTCGTCGTAGCTGGCGAAGAGCTGGCGTTCAGCTGAGCCGATGCTCACGTAAATCAAGGCATGTTGCCCAGATTCACTATGCGGAGCGACGAACAGCCGGCCCATGGCGTCGAGAGACACCAACATGGCGACGCACGCGGCAGGAAACGTGCACCTTCAAAGCAAGGCTTGCGCGGCTTTTTGGGATTCGAAAACAGAGAAAAAACATCACAATTTGACCTGCAACCCTGGCTGGTTCCGCTCGAGATGTTTCTCCACAATCAGTTCTTCACTGCCAAGGCTCAGGGTTGAGGGGGTTTGAGCACCTGAATGGCATTGTCAAGGCTTGTCAAAGTCCATGCGCTGACCGAACTTCTTGCATTCTGCCTCGGAGTTTTCGGAGAAGTCTGGACTTGAAGCTAGAGCCCAGTCCCAACACTTTGCGCCGGAATCCCCTCAGTTATCATTTTGAAAGCAGGGACCCAGTCTGGAGAACATCGTCCTCTTAGAGGTGACATGGCAAGCCTACTTTTCAGGAAGGCTTCTGCCTCTTTCATCTTCACTCACTTCACAAGTATGGAATGCCTGAGGTCGAGAACGCCCATGCGGCCTGCTGATGTAATATAGGGGCCTGAACGTTTAAATAGAGTTCTGGGGGTCATTATACTATAAAGGGACCGTAAGGGAATATGATCCGCAAACATTCCGATCGTTTATATTAGGCTGGGTTCAGGGCTAAAAATTCAAAGAGGCTTCAATGAGCCAAAAACTTTGGGTGTCGTGGTTCAGGGATTAGGCTCTAAACCCTAAACCCTAAACCTGAAACCCGAAACCCTAAACCCTAAGCCCAAACCCTAAACCCTAAAACAGGGGGCTTTTAGGCATCTTTGCTTCTCGTCCCAATGGCACCGGCCATGGTCACGAGGAGAGCACGAAATGTCGCACCTCCGCTCGCAAGTGTCGCAAAGCTTCACAGCTAAACAGGGTTTGGTGTTTAGGGTTGCGGGTTGAAAGTTAGGGTTTATGAGCCTATGAGCCTATGACATTACATAAATACTTATGAACCCTAAGCCCTCCTGAAGCGACTCGAAACCCCAAGAAGGCCCGAACGCCCGGCGGCCTGGGTGCAACGTTGGCTTTGGCGCCGGCCGAAATCTCAACAGGGTTGCCGCGTTAGGGTTTAGCAGGGGTCTGGGGGTTTGGGGTGAGCTTTCTGCTTCTTAAGGCTATCATTGATCTGCTGTTCTTGCTGTTTCGCAGGTGGGGGCCGGAAGACGAGGGGAGCAAGGACTTTGAGGGTTTAGGACAGCAAGGTATCATCGACAGAATGTGAGAGCTTCGGGTTTAAGGTCTACGAACCCTCATTGCAAGCCCCCACCTCGTGCACGCGCTTGGCCGTCATAAAACGTTCCAGGTTGGATGCGCGCAGGGCTGCACCATCTCATCGAAGAAATTTAGGGCTCAAGGCGATTCAGGGCTGCGCACTACTCCTCGAAGTTTGCTTCGCAGTTGTCTAGGCCGCGGGATCAGCGCCCAAGCTGCCCACATTAACTAGCATTAACTAGCAAGCTTCTCGTTGCCATGAAGGGTTGGAGCTGTCTCCAAAATCTTCGCGGTGTCTGGAGGAGCAGAGCCGAAGTAAGTGAAGCCGAAGATCACGGCAGAAGCGATGCCGACAGCTCCCTGTAAGATTCCCAAGCCTGCCAGGCCACACTTGATGAACACCTGTGTGGATCCTGCTGCAACAATGGCTGCAAATGAGCCCTGCGCAAATGAATCGAATGCGGCCGCCATGCCAGCGCAGTGTGGAAGAGGTTGGAAGTACAAGACATTTAAGGGAATAATTGCCATGAAAGATGGCAAAGTCTGAGCACAAGATCCCACGACATATCCCCAGAAAGGCCAGAAACAGCTGAGCAGCAGCAATACGACGCTGCCCAAGCCGTAGAAGGGGACTCCGATCTTCGCAAGTGTCAGCAAGGGTAAGCTCAGCCTCTCGACCGCCACAGCTCCAATTGCCCCTCATGTACCGAAGACAAACATGACAAAGCAACAGGTTGTGGTGGACAAATCCATGTTCACCTCCATGGCGTAGCCGCCATTGCTCATGAATATGTAGTACGTTGAAACGACGCATCCTTCTGCCAGCAATAAGCCCAAGAGGTAGGGACTTGTGCAAATCGTGCGGAGGTCCTGAAGGTAATTCTGGCCTTCGTCTGACATTGGAGCACTTTCCACCAAGTTAAAGTAGCAATAACAAGCCAATGCCATCCAGCACGCTGCCACTACTATGAAGGTCACACGCCAACCCCACCACGTAGCAAGAAGTCCTCCAGCTGGCTATTTGCTGTCGGAAGGATTCTCAACTCTTTTCATGTTAAGAAAACTAAACTTCAATGTGCGCGTTTCGAGCTTGTATGTCACGTCACAAAGCAAAAGGTTGCTCGCACAAATGAGAATCCCCAACATCACGTTCTTCAGTTTTCAGTTCCCTGAAGGATTTGCCATCAGGGGCTACTGTGGAAGTCAGGCACAACCGCCGTCGCACCCCAGGGTATGAGGTCGGTTCGACAGACGCAAGGATCACAAGTCTCCGTGTGCGGAATTGCAAGCTCTTTCTTTGCAAGTTTGTGGGCGCTCGACTCGGGGCTCTAGGGCGAAGCCTACATGTCTTGGCCGAATCCAGGTTTCAAGTTGGGCCCAAGAGGGGTGTCTTGGCCGAATCCAGGTTTCAAGTTGGGCCCAAGAGGGGTGTCTTGGCCGAATCCAGGTTTCAAGTTGGGCCCAAGAGGGGTGTCTTGGCCGAATCCAGGTTTCAAGTTGGGCCCAAGAGGGGTGTCTTGGCCGAATCCAGGTTTCAAGTTGGGCCCAAGAGGGGTGTCTTGGCCGAATCCAGGTTTCAAGTTGGGCCCAAGAGGGGTGTCTTGGCCGAATCCAGGTTTCAAGTTGGGCCCAAGAGGGGTGTCTTGGCCGAATCCAGGTTTCAAGTTGGGCCCAGGGGTGTCTTGGCCGAATCCAGGTTTCAAGTTGGGCCCAAGAGGGGTGTCTTGGCCGAATCCAGGTTTCAAGTTGGGCCCAAGAGGGGTGTCTTGGCCGAATCCAGGTTTCAAGTTGGGCCCAAGAGGGGTGTCTTGGCCGAATCCAGGTTTCAAGTTGGGCCCAAGAGGGGTGTCTTGGCCGAATCCAGGTTTCAAGTTGGGCCCAAGAGGGGTGTCTTGGCCGAATCCAGGTTTCAAGTTGGGCCCAAGAGGGGTGTCTTGGCCGAATCCAGGTTTCAAGTTGGGCCCAAGAGGGGTGTCTTGGCCGAATCCAGGTTTCAAGTTGGGCCCAAGAGGGGTGTCTTGGCCGAATCCAGGTTTCAAGTTGGGCCCAAGAGGGGTGTCTTGGCCGAATCCAGGTTTCAAGTTGGGCCCAAGAGGGGTGTCTTGGCCGAATCCAGGTTTCAAGTTGGGCCCAAGAGGGGTGTCTTGGCCGAATCCAGGTTTCAAGTTGGGCCCAAGAGGGGTGTCTTGGCCGAATCCAGGTTTCAAGTTGGGCCCAAGAGGGGTGTCTTGGCCGAATCCAGGTTTCAAGTTGGGCCCAAGAGGGGTGTCTTGGCCGAATCCAGGTTTCAAGTTGGGCCCAAGAGGGGTGTCTTGGCCGAATCCAGGTTTCAAGTTGGGCCCAGGGGTGTCTTGGCCGAATCCAGGTTTCAAGTTGGGCCCAAGAGGGGTGTCTTGGCCGAATCCAGGTTTCAAGTTGGGCCCAAGAGGGGTGTCTTGGCCGAATCCAGGTTTCAAGTCTTGGCCGAATCCAGGTTTCAAGTTGGGCCCAAGAGGGGTGTCTTGGCCGAACCCAGGTTTCAAGTTGGGCCCAAGAGGGGTGGCAGGTTTCCAAGAGGGGTGTCTTGCCCGAATCCAGGTTTCAAGTTGGGCCCAAGAGGGGTGTCTTGGCCGAATCCAGGTTTCAAGTTGGGCCGAATCCAGGTTTCAAGTTGGGCCCAAGAGGGGTGTCTTGGCCGAATCCAGGTTTCAAGTTGGGCCCAATTGGCCGAATCCAGGTTTCAAGTTGGGCCCAAGAGGGGTGTCTTGGCCGAACCCAGGTTTCAAGTTGGGCCTAAGAGGGGTGTCTTGGCCGAATCCAGGTTTCAAGTTGGGCCCAAGAGGGGTGTCTTGGCCGAATCCAGGTTTCAAGTTGGGCCCAAGAGGGGTGTCTTGGCCGAATCCAGGTTTCAAGTTGGGCCCAAGAGGGGTGTCTTGGCCGAATCCAGGTCCCGAGAGGGGTGTCTTGGCCGAATCCAGGTTTCAAGTTGGGCCCAAGAGGGGTGTCTTGGCCGAATCCAGGTTTCAAGTTGGGCCCAAGACTTGGCCGAATCCAGGTTTCAAGTTGGGCCCAAGAGGGGTGCCTTGGCCGAATCCAGGTTTCAAGTTGGGCGAAAGAGGGGTGTCTTGGCCGAATCCAGGTTCAAGTTGGGCCCAAGAGGGGTGTCCGAATCCAGGTTTCAAGTTGGGGGCAAGAGGGGTGTCTTGGCCGAATCCAGGTTTCAAGTTGGGCCCAAGAGGGGTGTCTTGGCCGAATCCAGGTTTCAAGTTGGGCCGAATCCAGGTTTCAAGTTGGGCCCAAGAGGGGTGTCTTGGCCGAATCCAGGTTTCAATTTGGGCCCAAGAGGGGTCGAATCCAGGTTTCAAGTTGGGCCCAAGAGGGGTGTCTTGGCCGAACCCAGGTTTCAAGTTGGGCCCAAGAGGGGTGTCTTGGCCGAATCCAGGTTTCAAGTTGGGCCCGTTTCAAGTTGGGCCCAAGAGGGGTGTCTTGGCCGAATCCAGGTTTCAAGTTGGGCCCAAGAGGGGTGTCTTGGCCGAATCCAGGTTTCAAGTTGGGCCCAAGAGGGGTGTCTTGGCCGAATCCAGGTTTCAAGTTGGGCCCAAGAGGGGTGTCTTGGCCGAATCCAGGTTTCAAGTTGTGCCCAAGAGGGGTGTCTTGTCCGAATCCAGGTTTCAAGTTGGGCCCAAGAGGGGTGTCTTGGCCGAATCCAGGTTTCAAGTTGGGCCCAAGAGGGGTGTCTTGGCCGAATCCAGGTTTCAAGTTGGGCCCAAGAGGGGTGTCTTGGCCGAATCCAGGTTTCAAGTTGGGCCCAAGAGGGGTGTCTTGGCCGAATCCAGGTTTCAAGTTGGGCCCAAGAGGGGTGTCTTGGCCGAATCCAGGTTTCAAGTTGGGCCCAAGAGGGGTGTCTTGGCCGAATCCAGGTTTCAAGTTGGGCCCAAGAGGGGTGTCTTGGCCGAATCCAGGTTTCAAGTTGGGCCCAAGAGGGGTGTCTTGGCCGAATCCAGGTTTCAAGTTGGGCCCAAGAGGGGTGTCTTGGCCGAATCCAGGTTTCAAGTTGGGCCCAAGAGGGGCGTCTTGGCCGAATCCAGGTTTCAAGTTGGGCCCAAGAGGGGGTTGTCTTGGCCGCAATCCAGGTTTCAAGGTGGGCCCCAAGAGGGGGTCTATTCCAGGTTTCAAGTGGGCCAAGAGGGTGTCTTGGCCGAATACAGGTTTCAAGTTGGGCCCAAGAGGGGGTGTCTTGGCCGAATCCAGTTTCAAGGGGGCAAGAGGGGTGTCTTGGCCGAATCCAGGGTTCAAGTTGGGCCCACCCCAAGAGGGGTGTCATGGGCCGAAATCCAGGTTTCAAGTGTGGCGAATCCAGGTTTCAAGTTGGGCCCAAGAGGGGTGTCTTGGCCGAATCCAGGTTTCAAGTTGGGCCCAAGAGGGGTGTCTTGGCCGAATCCAGGTTTCAAGTTGGGCCCAAGAGGGGTGTCTTGGCCGAATCCAGGTTTCAAGTTGGGCCCAAGAGGGGTGTCTTGGCCGAATCCAGGTTTCAAGTTGGGCCCAAGAGGGGTGTCTTGGCCGAATCCAGGTTTCAAGTTGGGCCCAAGAGGGGTGTCTTGGCCGAATCCAGGTTTCAAGTTGGGCCCAAGAGGGGTGTCTTGGCCGAATCCAGGTTTCAAGTTGGGCCCAAGAGGGGTGTCTTGGCCGAATCCAGGTTTCAAGTTGGGCCCAAGAGGGGTGTCTTGGCCGAATCCAGGTTTCAAGTTGGGCCCAAGAGGGGTGTCTTGGCCGAATCCAGGTTTCAAGTTGGGCCCAAGAGGGGTGTCTTGGCCGAATCCAGGTTTCAAGTTGGGCCCAAGAGGGGTGTCTTGGCCGAATCCAGGTTTCAAGTTGGGCCCAAGAGGGGTGTCTTGGCCGAATCCAGGTTTCAAGTTGGGCCCAAGAGGGGTGTCTTGGCCGAATCCAGGTTTCAAGTTGGGCCCAAGAGGGGTGTCTTGGCCGAATCCAGGTTTCAAGTTGGGCCCAAGAGGGGTGTCTTGGCCGAATCCAGGTTTCAAGTTGGGTTTCAAGGGGTGTCTTGGCCGAATCCAGGTTTCAAGTTGGGCCCAAGAGGGGTGTCTTGGCCGAATCCAGGTTTCAAGTTGGGCCCAAGAGGGGTGTCTTGGCCGAATCCAGGTTTCAAGTTGGGCCCAAGAGGGGTGTCTTGGCCGAATCCAGGTTTCAAGTTGGGCCCAAGAGGGGTGTCTTGGCCGAATCCAGGTTTCAAGTTGGGCCCAAGAGGGGTGTCTTGGCCGAATCCAGGTTTCAAGTTGGGCCCAAGAGGGGTGTCTTGGCCGAATCCAGGTTTCAAGTTGGGCCCAAGAGGGGTGTCTTGGCCGAATCCAGGTTTCAAGTTGGGCCCAAGAGGGGTGTCCTGGCCGAATCCAGGTTTCAAGTTGGGGTGTCTTGGCCGAATCCAGGTTTCAAGTTGGGCCCAAGAGGGGTGTCTTGGCCGAATCCAGGTTTCAAGTTGGGCCCAAGAGGGGTGTCTTGGCCGAATCCAGGTTTCAAGTTGGGCCCAAGAAAGGCACTGCGACACACCCCTGGGCCGTCCTCCAAGGCTGAAGCTCAAAAGGCGTCCATGTTCCTTTACTTGAGCCCAGGCACCAGGCAGCGGACGACAGCTCAAAAACATTCTTCAAAAAGCTGCGCCCGCGCACAAGTGGCGAAGCCCCTACAAGTTTTAGGGGTTTTAAGGGTTTAGGACTTAGGGGGGTTTTAGGAGTTAGGGTTTAGGAGTTAGGGGAACTGCGACACACCCGGTGGATCTCCTCCAAGGCTGGGTCCGAACGCAGAGCTCAGGGCAGTCATCATCGAGAGCCAGGCGAGCGCAGCAACCCTCTCCTCCTCTGGAAAAGAATCTCCTGGGTTAGGGTTTAGGGTGTTTAGGGTTTTTAGGGTGTAGGGGTTTTTAGGGTTTAGGGTTTAGGGTTTTGGATGGAACAATCTGCTGGCAGAGGGGTTACGGGCCGAATTCGGGGTTGAGGGTCCAGAGCCGCAGAATTAGCTTAGGGTGTCTTGAAAACCAAAAGGCAAAAGAACCCCAAAATGTGGGTCACATACCCTAAAAGCCTACGATAATCCCCTATTACGGTATATATGAACCTTAACTCTTTTCGGGCTCTTTTGGTCGCCAGGGTGTATTAGCCCCGCCAGGCTTCGCGCGATCGCAAAGAGTATCGGCTCGGCTCCCTCCCCCACTGCTTGGAGCACGCGTGCAGCCACAAACCAGATGTTGGACGCCACCCCGCAACAAAGAGAGCTGAAGACCAGAAGCACCTTGGGGAGCAAGGGCGGAGGCCTCTGGAAATTACCAGCTTAGGGTTTAGGGTTTAGGGTTTAGGGTCTAGGGTTTAGGGTGAAGGAGTGCGAGAGGGAAAGGAAGAAACAGGAAGAGATCAAGATGAAGGTGGAAAGCAACTGGCCCAGAAATTTGATCACCATGGCTCACCCCTAAACCCTAAACAGCTCTTGCTTCGGCACCAGGCAGGTCGTCAGCACGGGCCGTCGCCCAATGCGGTCGGAGAGCGGCGCCATCACGAAGCCGAAGAGCGACCTCCCGAGGCTGTGATTCAGGACTTTGGGGTTCAGGGTTTAGGGCTTTAGGGTCTAGGGCCTTTAGAGTTTAGGGTTTAGGGCTTAGGGTTTTAGGGCTTTTCGGTTTAAGGTTCAAGCCTAGGGCTTTAAACTAAATTTCGGAGTTGCGGGTTAACCCTATCCATCCCTCAACCCTGGACCCTCCGCCCCAAGCCGTCCTGCTAGAAGGTCACCTAGGAACAGGATACCTTCGGCATTGAAAGCCCATTTAGGGCGTACATGGTTCAAGCGCTTTCGGAGAAGCTTTAGACCAGGGGCTTGGGGATGATTGAAAGCTCGGAGGGCCCCTATGTACTTACTGTGGCCCCTCTGAGGCCCCTGGCTTCAGGAACACGTTCAGCTGCACGGAGCCTTGGAGAAGCAAAGTCGGGGTGGCCTATAGGTAGACATCAGAGTACAGGCTCTGGAACCGAGAGGGAGAGGTATATGTTAAGAAATATATTAACCGGATGCAGATTCATCTGCATAGGCAATGCTCGAAGCAAGTAAAAAGATGGGTTTAAGTCAAACGAGATGGTTGTACCGTGGGGAAACGCTTCAGTAAACTGCAGTTGTACAACCGGACATGTTCTTGAAGCTATTGGCATGGAGACACACAAAACACAACGGCTGTTTTGCGGGGTATTGTACACGGATGACAGACTGCACGCTTGCATAGACCTTGGGCCTCAAACGCCTCGGCTTACCTTGGGGCCCAAATGAACCTTAAATTGGGCTCACACACCCTAAACTACGATAATTCATATCAAGGTATATGAATCATAAACCGTTTTAGGGCTCACTTCGTCCCCAAGGTAGAGCTTGCCCGACATGCTCTCGCCTAGGCGCAGTGCGCATCCTGCGTCACGAGCGTGTGCTCTGTGGACGTCGGACGCCATGCTCTCCCTAAACCCTAAAGCCCAAACCCCAAACACGATTTGTGGGCCTCGTGGCCAGTGCGAAGTCGCGCTCACGGGTTAGGGTTTAGGCTTTATACAGTAGGGTATAGGTTTAGGGTTTAGGGGTGTCGCAACCAACGTGGCAGGGATGCAACATTCATGCCTGAGGATTGTCGGATGGGCTTTACCTTGCCAACATGGCAAGTCGTCAGCCCAAGTTTTTCTGGGAGAAGTTGCCTTCCAAAATCACACGACATGCCAGCACTAACTACGCACCCTTTACCAAAATAATAGGGTATATAAGCCCCCTTTATTAAAGGGAAGTTAGGGCGTGCCGCTGGTCCTACAGTCTTGGAGGATATGTTATCTTCCATGATGACAAATCACAAGCCCTGGTGCCTCCGATCTGCCAAAAAGGAAATAATTGCTTACTGATGGCTTGGGATGTGCCCCTTATGCTAGCAGCCCTTGATGGGGATTATACTCCCTATTTTGACTGTTAGTATACGGGGGAACATCCCAACTAATGACGCTAACCCCTGATGAAACCTTCCCATGACGAGGGACGAGTTTGCTGTAACTTCGTTTGTTTCGAAGTGGCCCCTACCTATACCATGTAGATTTGTTGCACGACTAATGGGGGCGAAAGGGTAGACTAGTGGAACTAGCAGCGTAGAATATATGGATGGTTAAAGTGAGACGTCTGCCAGGCTGGGTCATTTCTTGACTCCGGTTGCATCAAACAGCATAGCAGCTGCGGTTCTTCAGAGAAAGCAAACGTGAAATTTACACGATAAAACCGCAGTCTCGGGACCAAGAACAACACAAGAGACAACAACAACAGGTCATGCGCACGTATATAAATACGCACATATGTATGTACGTGCGTTCACCGAAATTATTCGGCCACAGACAAGCAGCCACTGAGCATCGTCTGAGTCCCCTCCAAATCCAGCTCCATCTGCGGTAGGTTCAGCGCAAACTGGTCCTCTGCTGCTGTTTTCTTCTTGTCATCTGTGTTCAGAACCTGCGTTGCCTGCTGCCTCTCGGCCTTACAACTCTTAAACCGCTCTAAACCCTAAACCCTGTGAATGCAAGGGCTGTCTTTGTTCTTCATGCTTTGCAGACTTGAAGCTGTCGGCTATGGGGGAGGAAAAGGTTTAGGATGGTATACATGGTTTGAGGGCCTGATGGCATGTTGAAGGCCGCTGCAGGACATGTGGTGCGAGGCTGTCAGTATAGCATGCAATCTGAATCCGGATTTAGGGTTTAGAGGTTTAGGAAAGTTTCGGGTTTAGGGGATGAGACTGAGATCGCAGCTGTGCTCACGTAGATGAGACCGGCCCTCAGCAAACGCAGGAGCTGCAAGATTTCTTCCGAATCCGAAGGTGTCGCCTAATCCCTACAAACCCTAAACCCTCAACCCCCAAACCCTGACGAGGAGATCCATCGCCGAGACACGTTGCCGCCAGAAAAATCACGAGCCGGCCCTTCGGGCTCTCCTCCACGGTGGGCGCCCTCCTCGCCTTCGGCGCCTCCGATCTTTTGCCCTTTATAAGGCACATCGGGTTTTTACATGGGATCTGTACAGTTTTTGAAGCCTAATGTTTCATTTAAAGGGGGTTCTACGCCGGTGTCTACAACTTGCAGGTGTTGACAGTGTTTACGGCTTGGGTTCCTGCATGTTCTTGCCCCGTCCTGGTAGAAACAGGGTGCCAGGAGCAGGATGACGAAGAGAACCACGGTGACGCACCGCCCCGCCCAGCCGGCCAGGACAAGGGAACGTGAGACCTGTTCACGGACGGGTCGGTGGCGAGCCTGAAGAAGCTGGGCCTGATGCTGGGAGAAGGGTTATGTGAAGCTTCCAACCTTAGCGTTCTTAGGGTTGGGAGAGTGGGAGGGACGTGCTTATAACTCTGGCCATGGGCTCCTGCTCTTCAGCATGCATAAGAAACGCGTGGAAGACATCCTGGGAGCGCAGTAGGAGGCGCGGCTTCTGCATGGCCGAGGGATAAGGTGTGGAAAGGGACTGTACGGTAAGCAGATCCAGATGGCTGCGGTCGCTTGCAGTCCCTGGCTTTGGAACAGCTTGCTCACTTTAGAGGGCGGGGGAGGGCGAGCATATATGTATATATATATATATGCATGATCTAAAAGTAAGTGTTCAGATTTCACAGTCAAATGAAAGCAAGTTACTTTGACCCCTCGAGCCTGAAGCCCCACTCTCCCCCCAAAGAAGCTGCCAGGTACCCCAAGCTGCGCTTCTTACTACACAGATTTGAGAGGCGGACGCTTCCGTCGCATATGACCATATCATATAGAGACAAAGTATAGGTGCACATCATGGTTGCGTTGCAAAACCGTATGAAGCGATAGGGGCGGGCTCTCACCCAGACCTGTTACTAGTTTTTGCCTCAGACACGATAGACAACATCAGTACGCCTGGCAGAGAGAGGCAGATATTGAAACCGGTCGGAATTTGCCTTTGCTCGCGACTTGAAGCCGGCTCGAGTTTCCTTTGCTGTGTGCTCCGCACCATGTCATCGCTCTCTCGCAAGCATTGGCAATTCATGTTGGAGCTGGATTGCGAAGCCTAGTGGTCCATGTAGGAAGTTGCAGAACCCAAGTGGGCACAGCAAAAGCAGTGGTCTCTACTCTGTACCTTGGCGACCAAATGAACCCTGCATGGGCTTGGCTTATGGTTCATAATATCGTAGTATAGGGTACATGACCCCAAATTTTAGGTTTCGCTTGGTCCCCGGCAGATCTGTCGTTTGTTGCTCAGAAGGATATACGCTCTAGGCGGCCATCTTGGGAGCGACCCCGAGAGATGGAAGCCCCCGAAGCCTCTTGCAGATTCAGGGACGCATTCTGCACCACGGCATTCTACACGGGTTTTAGGGGTCTAGGGTTTAGGGTTTCGAGTTTAGGCATTGCGGTTTAAGTTCATCCGAAAGCACCCCCGAGGCGCCCACAGCCTATGTCAGCCTCTTCATTGCACAATTATTTGGGGTGACCACACAGCAAGGCTGCTTTTGGTGTGTAGGATTTAGGGTTCTTAGGGTTTAGGGTTTAGGGCTTAGGCCCCGAAGTTGCTTGGATCCTCCATATACAGAAGCCAAGTTCCTCAGCTTAAGAATCTTCCAGTCCAAGTCGCAAGGCTATCTACCCACAAAAGACTCACACCAATAGATGATAATAGATGACAGTAGCAACAAAAAAAGCACGAACAGGCGCAAAAAGGCGCAATAATACCAGCCAGCGCAAAAGCTGAAAGACGTTTTGCTTTTTCTTGATTCCGGAGCTCTGCCATATCATTCCGAGAAGATGCGCAGCCATGTGGGGTTTTACGAGAATAAGGGACCCTAAGATAAAACCACAAATAGTAGGATTCCCTTTTACTAAGGACTCCAATACGGTACCATGAATATCGTAAACCCCCATGTCTTAAAACAAAGGTGCTCGAGGCCTGCGGGGTGTAGAGTAGAGCCCCGTTCTGAACCTCAACAGTGCCAGAAAAACAACTAGCAAACCGCTTTCAGCGGCGGTCGTCAAAAGCTTCGCGCTCAGGCTTCTGTTGAGGCAACGAAAGGTGCGTAGAGATCGACGACACTGGCCAAGTGGATTGCCAGCTTGTCGCACAGCTCCGTGGTGTTGCCGGCTTCTTCTGCCGCCAGCCAAAGATTTCCAAGCCAACTGTCACGTTGATCTTCCGTGAAACCTTGACCGCGCACCTCTGCGGAGCGCAAGGGACATCGCTTCGCACGCTGGTGCGCCGCATCCAAGTTGGCGAAGAGGTCCCCACGGCCCCCTCTCGTCCTGGCATAGTCCCGGTCCCCCGTCCATCTTCCCAGCAAGGCGAGAGCCAACCGCTCTCCGTGAACGGCGGCGCTGACGTTGGAATCCTTGTGAGATGTGTCGAAAAGTACCTAGGATGGCCCTCAGAACCCTCTGAAAACTATTCCTGAATATCATATTCAGAATATGATCCTCTTAAACCCAGTAAAGGACAATCTAGAACATGTCCCAAGAAACCTACCGAGGTACAGACATCCGAGGATCTTGGAACATTCGGAAGTAGTGGATGCCGCAGAGTCTGACAATACCCTCTTTTCCGCCCATGGAGCGAATATCCTCTGGCGTGGGCTGTGGCTTGAAGCCCCCTCGCCCAGCTCTGTAGATGGTCTTACCTTTCTTCCTTGGGCTTGGAGTGAGCCAAGTGACATATGCTTTTTTGCGGGACGGTAGTTGCTGCACTACATTATCGAGCACCGCATTTCATGAAAGGCAAGGAACATATGAGAAAAGACGCATACCACTCTAAGACGTAGCTGCAGAGCCGGAGTCTCCTGAAGCGGACCAGAAGCAGTCGCCCCTGGTGGAAACGAGCTCTCCGGCTGAGCGTCTCTCCGAGTCTCGATGCCGTCGGGGGGAGAAGCTTCGATATTGCCGTCAGGGGGAGGGCTCGGCTCCTTCGCTTGAAGCGACATGCAGATGCCCATCACAACGCCTGAACCACGCTATGTACCAGAGGCAGAAAAAGAATTTTGTGTCGGAATTGACCTTTCTTAAAGCTAGACTTGCTTCATGCAGCCTTAAAAAAGGCAAATGGTTGGGGTGACGAACTGCCAAGGCTGACTTGAGCTGGAGCGCTGAGAGTGAAGCGGAGCTTTCAGCTTGCGAGGAACGCGGTTCAGGGGTTTGGGGTTTAGGGTTTAGGGTTTGGAGTCTAGCTGTTGACTTGATACAACAGTCGCAGCTTCAGACAACACGTCTAAAACCAGAGGGTCTTGGGTGAGGAGATTTCGGGTAGTTGGGTCAAAATACTCTCAAGAATTTCATGCCCTGGAAGCTGGTTTTTGTTTTGCATCCAACGCATACTGCTTTGGCTGGGCTTGCTTGGACCCGGTGCATTGGCCGTGCACGCATTCACCTGAGACACAATGTGTGAAAGCAAAGGATGAACGTCCTTACTCTGCATCTCGCTGGGTGTCTCGCTCGAGGACGCGTTCGACTTGCAAGGCGTGGAGACCCTCCATGCAGAACGTCAAAAGACTATAGACGACAGACTATCGATTGTAGATGATGGACCATAGACCATAGACTATGTAGGACTATGGACTATGGACCATAGACCATCAATCAGGGGCAAGCCGAGAGATGCCGAGGGCACTGAAGGCTACCCAGAACACCGCACCTGGATGTCATTTGTATCATGACCATCACATTACTTTGGGATGTTCCCCTTCTTCTAACAGTCCTGAATAGGGAAGAAAAAAAGGGGGTCCTGTTCAGGACTGTTAGTATAGGGAACATCCCAAACAATTTCTTTTCTTCTATATATATAGGGCTCAATGGTAAAGAGAACTAATGGGAGACCCGCTACAATACGGCCAAAGAGTTCTATTGCTAGCTTTTTTCACTCATGAATTCGGCTTTTCATTGGCCCGGTAAAGCTCTTCATTGACATCATTCATTACGGTTTCTTGTTGGCAATACTTCATGAGTGTAGTGAATGAAATGATCCCGCAAAACATGCGCTAAGAAACCTACAAAGCCACATGAAAACAACAAACTACAGTGACCATTCAAGCGCAGTAAGCCCGAAAGCAGTACACAAAGAGCTCAATGCAACCATCATGCATGATGTCTTTCGCACGATGACCGCGCAAGTGCGGCCGTGAGCCATGAGCAAAATAAGATGCCCTCACACATTGATATAGCCGATTCGACCCGGTCACCCAAGTTCACCTTTTCTTGCGGTTCTTCGAACCCCCCCCCCCCCCACCCCGTCAACCTGCGGCAGAATCAAAAGAAAGCTGTTTTCCTGCTGTCGGTTGACAGCAAGACCCCGAGGATGATGCCAATGATGTCAACGCGCTTCTATTGTGATCAGGTGCTGAGCATTGATGAAGGAGAGATCACGGGCATGACAGTGATGAGGAGGTGGTGATGCTATTGATCATGAGGATGAGCTTGACAACTTGAGGGTGAGGACCACATTGATGAGGATAAGGACTGTGATGGGGAGGAGGATGACGAGCATGAGCATGAGACCGAGGATGGGATGGATGAGGACGACCAGGACGAAGATTACTGGATGCCCCCGCCCCCGGTTCATAGAATCAACAGCTCGCTGCTTTACAGCCCCACAAAACTGCTACAGTATGACGCCGCTCAAGCCTAGCCCCACCAGCTTTCGTGATTTGGGTTCCTGCATACGACAATAATTAAGCCTGCTGCGCACATGTCCAGAAGCAGAGACATCACGACTGCCAGGTTCTCCATCGCACAGCAACCCTGCCTCAGCTGGCGTCTGCAGGTGCTGGTTCGCGGTATCCTTTGGCACGCTAGGTTGGCCGCTTGGCCATGGTTGGCCCAGCTGCAACGTTTAGCCGTGCCGTTTCACACACAGAAGCATCAAGTGTTTCCTAGGCAGGTTTGCGCATGCTAGGGAGCCTCCTCATCAGCCTTGCTCATGCCCAAGAGGATGCCCAGGAACTGCTTCACGAAAGTCAAGTTGACAATGGAACAGGCCTTGGAATCACACATCACACCTACTTTCAGAAGATGGGAGGGGGTTTGCACGCCGATGGCTATCCGTTACTCTCCCGCCCTTCTTGCCGCTACCCTCTCCATGCCTGGCCAGCCCTTGATGCTTCGGCTTCTGACATCTCACATCATCACCGACTGTCCGAAACCGATGACCCACAACTGGAAATCATTCACACAATCGCTGCTCCACACGCCTCAGTGCTGACTCTCTATCACCTCACCTGGATTTGAGAATCTTGCAAGAAGAGCTGATTCGCCAGCACACGCGCCCCTCACCTGCGCTACCAGTTAGCTGGACAACTTTCAACGGCAACACGACGCTCGTCAGCTGACGTGCCTGCTTCAAAAAGAAGAACGGCACCAAACATAGCATGCCCGTCACAAACTGGGCCACTTGACATCTGGTGACTCAAGGCTTCCAAGACCTCATGCGCCAGAAATGCTTCA